CTGCTAAATATTTAGCAGACCCAAATCGTTTTTCTGTTATAACTTTCTTTAAAATAGAGCTAGAGAATTGAAATTTGGCTCATTTTGACGGATTTTTGAAGCTAAATTTGAATTTTTGAATTAAAAATTGCGAAAAATGAAATTCAGTTAATTTTTTTGGCTATTTAACGCTAAATTTGAATTCCTAGAAAGAAAAACGGTCTGCTAAATAGCTGAAAATTTCGATGACACCTGATTTTTATAGAATGAGTCATTCATAAATACAGCAAATAAAATACGTACATTTGGGCAAAAAAATTGTTGATTGTGAAATAATTCAATGGATGAGTCAACAGAAGGACAGACACAAAAAGTGCATTGGGGAATCAACAAAAAGTTTGAATTCAGAATTTGGAGGGAAATTTGAAAAAATTAAATTCCGAAAAATTGAAAAAAAATTCAAAAAAATAAAAAAATGGTATTAAAAAATGGTGGCTGGATAGATTAACAGTAATCTCCTCTAACAATAATCCCTCCATATCCCCCAAACAGGATTTTTTGTTAACTAAAATTTCGAAAAAAGTTGTGCATACACCAAATCTGACGATCGAAATTTTGGAAAATTCAAATTTCTATAAAACTGATCAATAAAAAAGAAGGACTTCTTCTCCACAAAAACATCACCACAACATATCCATTCGGTTTCTGGGGTTGTCGCCACTATTCTTCCACCCCATTCCTCTTCTTTTTGTTTCTCTAAACCTCTCCATTTCATACACTATCTCTTCGAAAGCATTCTTCTTTCTTCCGAAAAGTCAGTAGTCAAACTACTAAAAAAGATGGAATCGAGAAGAAGAAGACGAAGAAAAGGAGTACATTTCTCATTCTTCGGTTTTTTTCTATTTTTTCTCTGCGTCTCACTCTCTCTGCAAAAAAGTATTCTGGTACCAACAGATGTCACTCCTAGAAGTGACATTCAAGAAATTGGGAGATATGAAACTTGAAAAAGCTCAAGAATGAGCCAAAAATCAAAATTCTAGGAGGATGTTGAGGGAAGTTATGAAGGGAAATTGATTTGGGTCTGCTAGCTATTTAGCAGACCGAAATCGTTTTTCCGTTATAACTTTCATCAAAATAGGGCTAAAAAGTTGTAATTTGGCTCATTTTGAAGGATTTTTTGAGCTGAATTCGAATTTTTCAAAGAATGATTCTGATTTAGAGAAAAAAGAAATGAAAATTGACAAAAAGTGAAAACTTTGAAGCATTCTTCGCGGAGATAGGAAGATTCAATATTTTTTCTTGGAAAAACTCAAAAAGTTCTTTGAAATGGCGAAAAAAATGAGCGAATGAGGTTATAATAGAAAAAAAAACGACTTGGGTCTGCTAAATAATTAGCAGACCCAAATAATCGTTTTTTCGTTATAACTTTCTTTAAAATTAAGATAGAAAATTGAAATTAGGCTCATTTTGAAGGATTCTCTGAGCTAGATTTGAATTTCACAAAAATATTGATTTACAAGGCGAAAAAAGAAAAATAAATTAATTAACAGACCCAATTTTTTTCTATTTTAACTCTTTAAAATAGAGCTAGAAAATGGAAATTTGGCTCATTTTAAAGGATTTTTCGAGCTTAATCTGAATTTCAAACATATTACAGTCATAATGCAATAAAAACGGCAAAAAATGAAATTTTTGATTCAGCAATTTTCAGATTCAAACAATAACGTCCAAGGTCTCAAAATATATCGATGATCTAACTTTTTGAATTTCGAATTTTTAGAAAAAATTAAAAATTAAGCTTATTTTTGAGCGCATTTTTGGCGTTTTTTCGAACACATTTTCTGTACAAAATTCTCAAATAAAAGTTCTTTGAGACCAAGAGAGAAGGACGTACTTTACATTGTAAAATGTGTCGCTTTACACAAAAAAAGAAATCGAGAAGGACACTTGTGTGTCGTCCGGTCAAATTCATTCAGCGGGCGGGAAAGAGACAGATTCCGATGTGGTTTTTGTGGTGATCGGGCGCCGATCAGGCGAGATATTCCGACTAAACGGATATACGTGGTTTCCTCTCTCTTTAGCGATTGATTTGTGTAGGACATCAATCATCCAAAGTTTTCGGGGGATAAGGTTACCAACTAATTGTAAAGGAATGATCAAAAATTGCACTTTAGCTAGAAAATTCGACAAAAAAAATCATTCAATTCTTTTTGAAGAAGAAACTTTTAAAAAATTGAAAAATACTGTAACAAATTTTAGACGCCTACAAAAGAACTTCAAAGTTTTCAGAACCACTGGAAATTTTCTGAGAGCATACAACGAAAATAAGGCTTCATTTTTGTAGTCGAACACTTTTTTTTGTAGCTCTTTTGGTTATCTTTTGGTTCTTTTTTGATAGGTTGTTATTTAAAGAATAGGTTCCTTGTACGCCAAAATGATGTGGGGATGGACGAATGCTCAAGCGGTGGAGTATACTGGAATTCTTCAAGCAGTTAATGGCCTGGTTGTGGTTTTGGTGTACGCCTTATTCGCTGTTAAATTGGGAGATTAGTATGTTTTCGGATCTCCAAAACCAAGAAAAAAAAATGAAAAGTTCAGCATCTCACAAGCTCGCGAACGAATCTTCACAATTTTCGGACTGGCACTTGGTGTGTTATATCATGTGGTCACTTTTCCTTACCCATGGGGTAAAGATTTGCATTTCGAGCTTAAAAATGTTACGGTACATGGGAAAAATAAAACAGAGGAGTTGGGCTGCAATCCGGAAAAGTATAGATGGCGTGGCTATACTAAGGTTGTGAGTTTCTTTTTCAAGGGATTTTACTTTGTCTACGAAAACCCCGATAACTTAGCTCAAAGTGAACTTTTTTCAAATCTAATTGCAGATTTGGATTTTTCAGGATCGATTTCATCAAATAGCAAAATTTCAGAAAAATTGATCAGTGGGAATGAGACAAAAAAAAGCTAAATTAGCTAGCATTGGTCTGCTAAATAGCTAGCAGACCAACGAGGATCTCTGAAACGCAGCGCGCGAGAGAGTGGGTCTGCTAGCTATTTAGCAGGCCTACGAAGCGCAGAGAAACGAGAGCGTTGGCCTGCTAAATATTTAGCAGACCACTTCTCTCGTTTCTTTAGGCGAGCCAAACATTAGCAGACCAATGCTCTCGTTTCTCTGCGTCTCATTGGTCACTGTTTAGCAGGCCAACGCTCTCGTCGCCTGCGTCTCGTAGGCCTGCCAAATATTTAGCAGACCAACATGCAACGTGGCTTTGTTGCCTGCAACCGAGACGCAGAGAAATTAGGTATGCTAATGTTTGCATGGGCGTTTTTCAGCTAATTTCAGCCAAAATCGACGGAAATAGGGCAATATTGGTATCAATTTGAAGGAAATTCCGTGGCAAAAACGATGGGAAGATCTAGAAGTGCTGAAAAATTCATGAAAAAAATATATTTGTCAAATTTATAAAATTTCAAATACAATTTCGAAAAAGAAAAACAGTTATTTGTCTTCTTCCTCGAAAACTTCGTCCACTGGATTTTCGGAATTCGAATTCCCAACTTCAATATAGAATTCCCGGCGCTTCTTGTCCTCCTCCACATCAATAATCCCTCCTTTCTTCTTCTGCTTCTCAAAAATCTTCGTCAGACGACGTTGCTCCTCTTTCCACGTCTTCATTGTTTTCTGAACGTCTTCTGTCGTCGTGCTGATTCGTCGCTTCTTGGCGCTCAACGTCTTCTGATTCTTTTTTGTTTGGCGTTTCATTTCTTCAATACTCTGACGATAGTTGTGAATTGTGTTGGCGTCGGTTAGTTGCTCACGGCACACAGGACAGAGGATGTTCTGGAAAAATCAATTTTCTTTTCGTATTCTGAAGTTCAGAAGACGTCAGAGCTCAAAATTTTTGAAACTAGTCCAATATGGGTATCAAAATGCCGGAAATTAGGTCAGAAATTAACCTAACGTCGTGGAAACTCTAGAAAGCAAATTTTAATCCTAAAAATTGCTAATTTCTCACCGTCACCACTTTTTCCTTCATATGTGGCTGTGCGTCCTGAATCTCCTTCTGAAACCCATCAGAGCATTCCTGAAGGTACCGACAGAAACACGTGGCATGCATAAAATGATCGCATTGGGTCACATGGATTGGTGACGTGGATAGACACAGAAGACATATCGAACAGTCCATGTTGGTGTGCTGGTTTTCAGCCAGATAGTCACAGCAGTGCTGAAAATTTGAAATTTTCTTTTTTTAAATATTTTTTTCTAAAAAAACAAGTTCCAACCTGAAAAATTTCACAGATAATCGGCATTTCGTCGGAATTCTCTTCAACAATTCGCCGAATTTGCCTCTGAAGCTCTTGGAATTCCGGCTCGCCGATGCCACGTGGATTCGAGAGAACCACTCGGGGAGGAACTGATGGGTACTGGAAAAAATTCGATTTTCTTCCTAACAATTGTTCTCAGAATTCAAAAAAACCAAATATTTTAATTTTCAGATTTTTTTAATATTAAAAAAAATTGTTTTTCTAAAAATTATAATTTTCTCACCCCGCTAAAAATGGTCATCTCAATCACCACCGACGCCGACATCATCTCGTCCTCCAGTGATTTGATTTTGTGCTTCAGATGACGTTCTTCATTATTTCCAGACGCTTCTGCCACGTGGACACCATCCCAAATCGAGCACAGCGCTTCGATTTCCGCTTCCATGATTTTTACTGATTTTTTTTTGATACATTTTTTTGAATAAAAAATAGAGAGAATATGATAAATATTGCTCAGCTGACAAAACGAAAAATCTAGGAAAAGTATTGGAATAAGTTAGATAATTTATAAATTGAATAGAGATTAAGGTCCATAATTAACAACAAGGGCCCCTTGTCGAGGGGATGAGATTATTTGGATTTTTTGGGCGGAAAGTTGTATTATCCTTGTCAGAGAAAAAAAGGTTGAGTCGAAGTGTATGCGATGTTTGTAAACAAATATCTGAAAGCGTAAACAACCGGAAACAGTTGAAACGAGTGCGACAGTAACCCGGCGGGAAAATATTAAATTTACCGTAAAACCTGTAATAGAAGTGCCCCCTGACTTTCAACTTTGAGCACATTTATCTCGGTTCCTGATAAAGATGTAAAAAATTTGTCAACTAATAAATTGTTGCTGCTATCATGATAAACAATTTATCAGTTGACACATTTTTGATCTTTATCAGG